AGCCCTCCTGTGTGTCAGCCACCCCTCCCAGATTTGCATCATCAGTGCACTTGTTGAGGGTGCACTCTGTCCCCTCATACAGGTCGTTGGTGAAGATACTGAACAAAACTGGATTCAGCACTGATCCCTGGGGAACACCACTGGCCACAGGCCTCCAGTTTGACTCTGTGCCACTGGTCACAACTCTCTGAACTCTGTTGCTGAGCCAGTTCACAATCCACCTCACAGTCCAGTCATCTATCCCACATTTCTTACCTACGAGGATGTCATGGGGGACAGTATCGAAAGCCTTACTGAAGTCGAGGTACATGACATCCTCTGATGTCCCTTCATCAACCCATTTGGTCATGCCTTTGTAGATTAGTCAGGCAAGATTTCCCCTTGGTAAATCCATGCTGGCTACTCCTGATAACCTTCTTTTCTTCCATTTGGTTAGAGATGGCCTTCAGAATGAGCCACTCCATCATCTTCCCAGGGATGGAGGTGAGGCTGACTGGCCTGTAGTTGCCTGGGTCCTCCTTCTTGCCCTTTTTGAAGACAGTAGGAGTCATGACAGTAGGAGTCTTCCAGCCCATGAGGGCTGAGGGAGAGTTTGGTTAAGGAATGTGCCTGGAGATTGTGGGGCTCTCCCTGGCTCTGCTGCTGACTCGTGTGTCACCAGGCAAACTGTTTCAGAGTTCACCCATATCTGCTAGCTGTTAGCTCAAACACAGAAGAAAAGCAGCTACTACACACAGTGCAGTGCAATATCTGCATTTTTAATTGTATCAGAATGCCTAGTACAGGTGCTCTGAAAATGTAAAGACATTTTAAACAGCTCGCTCTGCTTCAAAATGTCAAGCAAAAGAAAAATTAACTCAGAAAGGCGTATTAAGCACATAAAGCATATACATATGCAGAGAGTATTTATTCATTATCTGTTCAGCCTTTCTGTCAGCAGCACATCTGAAAGCAAAACGTGCTGCCAAGTCATGTATTCTGATGACCTGGGGACTTCCCCATTTCCCAGGAAGATGAATTTGAAGGCACTAGAATGATTTCTAATAAACACTCTGACAGAAAAGGTGATGGTAAAAGGAAATGCAGCTTACCGGTAGTTGGTTTTTTTTTGCAAAGGAAAGTACAGTGACTCATGTGTCAGAAGGAACATGCTAACCAAAGACAGTCTGTGCACTTTGCAAATGATCACCTAAAACTCCTCTTGCCAGGGGATACCTAATGGCAATTAATTACTCTTGAAGTCCCAAGGTCTAGGTAGTTGTACAACTAGGCACCGACATGTCTGTCCTTAGGAAAAGAAAACAGAGATCTGTGATTCAAAGCTATGCTGGAAACCTGAGATATGAGATGAGATTTTCGGTGTCTGAGAGAGAAATTACAAGCTTTATTTTTACGGGCTAAACTTGGTGACCTGCTGATGCAATGGAAGGATAGGTGGGGATGGAGGAAATACGTGCTTGTCATTGAGTTCTTCCCAAACAACTCACTGCTATTCACAGCAAGATAAAAGTGTTCACACCTGGAGTTCATCTGGGAAGAGCTCTTACCTATAGACAAGCCTGAAGATGAGGGAAATGGGGGCCACAGCAGAGTATTATGTGCCCATGGACTGCTGTACGTGAAAGAGCATGATACAAATAATGTGACTGGAAGATCTCATGAGTCATCCTTCCTCACTTAACCGGAAAATTAGAGTTCTCAGTGTTCCCGTCGCCCATCATAGCCTCTCAAGGTATCACAGTTTGTCCAGGCATCATTTTCTGACTGGCACACGCGGGTATTTGTCAGATGACATTGTCCTGTGGCCTCTAAGGCTCGTACGCATCTGCCCGGGTGCAGAATGGCAGAGGATGAGCTGTGTTTCCCTGTGGAGTTCCCTGACATGGGACGGAGCGAGGGCTGCGCATGTGCATGTTCACTGCTCGGTGTGCACACCCTTAGTGCTCAAGCATAAAGATATGACAGCTGTGCTTGTTCAAAAGCAATCTGTTATTTTATGAACAATGTTCAAAGCAACTCTATTTGAGGGTATCTGCACCTTACCTGAGGGCACATGCAGTAATCCAAAACTTTTCAGCTGGTGGGACAACATCTTTGTTTGATGTACACGGGGCAGGAATTTGTGTGTACAACTGTGGCAGAAGAGTGTAGGGCAGGTGGACAAAGCCATGAACCTCTTCTCATTCAGTAGACCCACAGGGCTCGTGAGCAGATGAAAGTATCTCTGCAAATATTCACAGGAAAGGAAATAGAGTTACAGTTCTCAGAGCAGTGTTTCATCGACTGTGTGTTTTATAGCAGATGTTTCAGGACATACACAATTAGGACTTAATGTATTAATATACATCTCTGGAAAATAATCCAGCAGTTCATTAGGGGCCAGACCTTTGGCTGACATAACCTGACATGGCTCCAGTGGCTTTGTTTTCAGTTTTGAATATGAATTTAACATCTAATATCTTTAATTATACACATCTCTGGCCAGTATAAACCCATGTGAGATTGGGATGCCTGGATCTTGTGTGTACCATTAAAATATCTTCCAGGACCTTTGGATTCTATAGCAGTCAAACCCCGTCTTTTGGATCATATACCAAAATCATAAGGGTGAAATTCTACAGCACTGGGTAGGCACAAAGACAGATTTCATAACTGCTTTAGTCTCTGCTATCTAAAAATACTTTAGACTGTCTGGCACAGTTAGATGTCAGCAAATCTGGGGCAGATATGTTCTAGGCTTTGCCAGCTCTAGCCACCTCCCTCCACTCACATCCATGGGGGAAAGGGGGTCTGTGATCAACAGGATGCAGCAGTGATTGAAAAATACCGGTGACTACAAAGACTGGAGTGGTGGGGGCAGAGAGAAGTTTTGCTTACTTATATTTTCCTACAGTTCTGCATAGTTTTGTTGACTGAAAAAGCCCAGAGTAGCTTTCTGCACTAAATGATGCTTACTTGCCTGTTGTCTTTCAAGATCTTTCTAGCAAATAGACTACAGACTGTTTCTTCAGTGTCATCTAATGATTATTTTCTTGTCTCTGCTTCTTTCAGCTCCAAGGCTCCTTGAAGAGAAAGTTGGTGGTAAATCTGTCCCCTGTCAACAAGAGGCCCAATGGTATTTCAGAGAGCTCTTTCCTGGACATTAAGAGGATAAGAGTGGGTGATAATATCTCAGTGGGACAAGGTGGACAACATGTAAACAATTGCCAAAGCCAGTCAATGTCAGGAACTATGTCTGTGGGGCAAGGATCCCAAAGAAAGGTGAGCAACCTAGCAAACAACACACATGCTACTGGGAATGGCATGTTTAATATGACTCTGAAAGAGGTAAAGAAAGAGCCAGGAGAAACAATGTCCTGCAGCAAACACTTAGATGGCCAGACATCCCATGAGAACATGTTCCCTAACAGATATGGGGAAGACTCATGGGACCAAATGATGGATCTGGAGCTTCAGGAACTGTTTAATGAACTGACTAACATATCAGTGCCACCAATGAGTGATCTTGAATTAGAGAATATGATAAATGCAACGATAAAGCAAGACGAGCCATTCAACATTGACCTTGGGCAGCAGAGCCAGAGGGGCCCTGTGAGGTCTCTGCAGATGGATAAGATGGTGATAAAAAGTGAATATGCACCAGGCATGAGTCAGGCTCCTGTGGGCTCCCCACAGATGAGACCTTCTTCTACAGGTCCAGCCTTCACTATGGCCACCACTGCCATGTCCACCTCTTCACCCATCCCTTCGGTGCCTCAGAGTCAAACACAGGTTTCACAGGTCTCTTCTGCGCCCAGTCGGCCATTGCCTAACTGGCAGGAGGTGTCTCACGCGCAGCAGCTCAAACAGATCGCAGCCAACCGGCAGCAGCATGCCTTGATTCAGCAGCAACAGCAGCAGCAGAACCAGACAGCCAACTGGTCCACTCTGTCTCCATCAGGACCTTCTCCTGGACCCTTCGTGCAAGAGAAAATCCCCAGTCCTTCTTTTCGCCAGCAGCAATTCAGCCCACAAAGCTCAGCAATGCTTGGGGTACCAGTGAATGGCAACCAGTCGAAAGGGATGAGCAACTATGTTTATAAACCAACCACTCCCCAGAGCAACCCCATGGACATAATCATGCAACAGAAGCCTCAGGACCTCAACAGAAACTTTATTAACAGTGCTCAGCCACCACTAGAGCAGCATCATGGCAACACAAAGCCTTTGTTTCACTTTAACTCAGAGCAAACAAACCAGCAGATGCCTTCAGTTTTGGGTTCCCAAAACAAGCCTGCCCTTCTGCACTACACGCAGCAGTCACAGGGTTCAGCCCCTGTGCAACAGCCTCCGCAACAGCAGCAACAGCAGCCTCAACCGCAGCCTGCGCAGCCTCTTCCGAACCAGTCTCTTCAAAGGCCACCCAACGTACCCCTAGCAATGCAGCAAAAAATGATGCTTCAGAAAATGCAGCAAAGCCAGCAAATCTCAGGTTTGCAGTATCCAGTCTCTCAGCAGCATAGACAGGTAAGGCAAATTCCTCCTTGATTGTTATTTGTTTGGTCTGAGTACTAAAATGCTTTTCCATCCAGGAGATGCCTACTAGTGGCAGATATCGACCATTTCAGCACATACTTCCACAGAGCTGGTGATGACATGTTTAGCACCTATTCAAATACGTCGTGGATGCATATTTATAAAAAATTCAAGATGTGTTCATAACACTTTTTTTTATGCCCTGCAATTTAGTGTATATGTCACTGCTATACATTGTGTAGATACTTGTCAGAAAGGTGAGATAGCAAGGAAGATGTAAGCTTATTTTGGACCCCTATCTTAAGTTTTTTAGGTTACAAAAATTTAGGCTCTTTTGAATGGCAAAATTTTAATGAATTCCTGTGTTATCTTAGATACTGTCTTTTACAACATTAATTTTTATGCCATTGTTTTCCTCAGGGAGGCAGAGTTAGGAAATTCTGGATTTAGATGTCTTTTGACTGACATTACAAAAAAACCATTTGCACATTTGTTATCTGTTTGGAAAAAAAAAAATCTAGGGCTTATCTGTGAGCTTTATAAACACCCATCACACTTTCGGGAATATTCTGTGGATAAAATACATGCTTAGATATGAAGGTGAAGGTTGCCACAGATATGTCTACAATTATATACGACATGGCTGGCTCCCACAGTGTTATCTTGAGACAGTGCTCTGACAAAATCAGTTGTTACAGCTCAGTTGTGCTACGTCAAGTCACTGTGCACCAGGATCCCAAGTTTCGGACCTGCCAACTGAAGTTTGAGTAACGCAACCTCACTGCTCCTCAGAAACTGGAAACCAGGCACAAAACAATTAAAAGTTGTTTGACCGTGGGACGTTTAAGCTTTAAGTTTGGGGGGGGTTGGGCTCAGCACATCGAAAGGTATGGAATGGCAATGTAGTTGTGGAGATCATTTGTAGATGTGAAAAATAGCTGTGATACTACTGAAAAGTGAAGTCCTGAGTCTTCCATAAAGTCATCCATAAAGTAAAGAAGCAACATTGTGAATGAATCGTTCAGAACTGGACTTCTTTGCCACCAAAATCTGATGTTTTTTAAAAAATGAAGTAAATACAGTTGTATGCATGGATACCCTTCTTTTAACTCTTTTAAATTCCTGGACCAACTAACCATGACTTTCTCCAACAGAAAGTCCCTTAGGAAGTGGAACCAGATGAAAGGTATGGGTGCTTTGGGTGGGGAGATGTTGCTTTGTTGGAAGATGCTGGAGAATGAGCGTTGGCAGGAAGCAAGTACAGCTTTGCTGGTTTACGGGAGGTCTCTGCTGGCTCTTACTCTTCTTCTTGGGCCACTGTGTGCTCTCTTCTTAGGCACATTTCCCCATTCTCTTAAGAGACTGGCAGGCAGATGAATTCTAACAGTTCCTTCATTCAGCCATGATGAAGCTTCCAGCAATCTGTCAGCACAGGGGAGACAGGCAGGACTTTTGCAAGCACTACTACTTTTTCTGAAAAAAATTATGCAAGGTCACATTCTGGAAAGGAATAAAAACACTTGAGAGCCACTCTGCTTGAGGCAATGTTAGCTCCTTGCTCTGTGTCCTCTTGGGCCGCCGCTCAGGGAGGCAAGCCAAGAAGATGGTACTTGGCAACTTGGCCGTAGTAGTTCTCACAAGATTTATCATTAGTATGGTGGGATCTCTCACCTATGTAGCCACAAGATCTCTTGGCTTAGGAAACTTGCCCTAAGTGAGTTTTGCTGAGTGCCAGTCTTTAGATACTACACCAAGGAAGGAGTTTTGTATTTCGTCACAGACTTTTGCAAGTAGCTTTCCAAAGTTTCTTGTCATCTGATCACTTCCCACAGTTATGTCTGCAGGACATGGTTACCTGACTGACAGCACAGCTGAGAAGTTTTAGAGGCTTTGTAGACACAGATTATGGGGCTTTTACAGCAAGAATGCTGGTTTTTCTGTGCTCTAGAGAGATAATTGGATTTTTATAAGAGATCCTTAGTGGCTGTTCCAAAGTTCTGCTGAAGTTCAGCAAATCAAGTAGGTCTCTCTCAACAGAGTATTCTGTAGATGCTGGAATTATATTTGGAAATACGATTGGCCCATAAATTCCAGAGTTTTGGAAAGGTTTGAACATAACTGTTCACCTCGAAGCATTTATGTGTTCTATGGACTCCTTTAGCATCTGCCTGCCCATCTGCAAGAGCCCACCAATCCCTCAGTCAGGGCCTGACCCCGTAAGCCCAGTCTGAATATTAAATCAGAGCATGAGGGAACGCTGTTAACATTACCTTCCACTAAAGACAACAAAGGCCAAAGCAACCTCATGTGTCAACTCCTGCTGATTTTAGCAATGGGAACATTACCTCATTTAGGCTGCATGGTTTTCTTTCCTGAAGCATAATCTAACTCTGAGAATTCCTACACATCATTAACAGTAATGCGTGATTAATTACCAGCATTTACTAATTGACTTTGTGATTAGTATTTATCTTACTCATGCCCTCTTTCTTCACGAGGAATCAAGGTTTGATTCTGCTTCCTATCGTTCAACTCCTCCTCAGATCATGATGTTTGTGGACTGTAAGAACCATGTCAGAACTGGCTGGAGTGCTTTGTAGCTGTAAATGTGAGTGCACTTGTAAAGAGCTGCAGTGACATTGCCGTCAGATAACACTGATGGGAACACTCTAAATTTGCATGTTTAGCTGAACCAGCTCACCCTCTGGATTTTTACTCCCCAAGCTTTAAGATCCCCCCAGAAAATTTGAACTTGACTTTATCAGCCCAAGCTGGCTAACTGGAAGTATAAGGCTTATAATTTCTCTGCTTGTCACATTCACTTTCTGTCAAATTGGAGCAAACTTGTAGTGGGGTTTGGTAATTAGATGTCTTTTGCCTCTAGGGAAAAGTAATAAAAATGATGGAAATCATCTTGGTTTCCTGGAAGGTTGATCTGAATGAAGGGTTTGTTTGCGTCTCTGTTTTATTCTCCATTGTTGTGGGAAAGATTCACCTTTCCATTGTCTATCAGGATGCAAAATATACACAGCCATGAAAAAACTATTAGAAATTCAACACTTTCTTTTTTTTAAAGGAATAATTAGAGACTCCAAATTCTGCACAGATTTAATCAACTTTGCAATATTTATACAGAACTTGGGCTGATGTGGGGAAAATCTCTAACTGGACTTGGGTAGAAACTTGAAGTCTAACTTTCTACTTGTGAAGAAATGTAGTCCAGTCAGTGAAAGATGTTTCTAAAGTAAGACTTTAGATTTTTGAACACCAAAAAAAAAAAAGATGGTTTTAACTAGTCTAAGAAATTCCATGTGTATTTTCAAAGATTTTTATCAACCATAAGACTTGTTCGATAAGATCCATTATTCTTCTGTGAAGAAGTCAGAAATCAATTAAAAAAAAAAGAAAAAGCCTGTATCTACTAAATCAAATATTATTCATCCCCTTCTGGTTTTGACCTAAAGCCAAATTAAACGCAAATGTTTCAAGCTGATTTTTCCTCCAAATTTTTTTTATTCAACTTCATTCACTCAAGGGAGAGGAGAAAGGGATGAGCTCATGGGAACAGGAACCCTCATGGAGCAAGGTCTCTCCATTTGCTACATGTGGGCATGTGCCCTGTTTTGTCTTGGCTTAGAGGCCAAGAAGAACATGAGGGATCATGAGAACTTCAGCCTACACTTTACACAAACAGCCAGTGGTCCTTATTTTTAAAGCTCTGAAAGTGTCATTGTCATCTGTGTAGTTACAACCCACAACATTGTCTCCTGTGCAGAGCTCAGGTCCTTGACAGTCCTTGTTCCCTTATAACCACTTTGAGAATAGGATCATCTCGTTTTTTTTCTTTTATCTTTTTTTTTTTTCCCCAAGAACCCAGGAATGTGGTGTGATTAGTTGCAATTTAGGTCTTTTTTTGTCCTTACTTGTCCTGATTGAGGCATGCCTTAGACCATTTTCTTCACCAGGTCTTAACAGCCTTCTTTGAAATTCAACCAGTCTCTCTTCCTACTGAACACTGAGCAGTCCCTTCTTTAGTGCTGGCTCCAAGCACGAGTGTCTCCTTCATACCTCTTGCCTCATGCTCTCCCACAGGAAGACTTTGCATTCTGCAGCATGTGGCCAATGGCCGTTCAGGTGCTCCATGACCCGGGGACACAGCGTGGCTGCATTTGACTGGAGAAAGGCCACAGCTCAGCACTGCACCAAGGGATGTGCCACCAGTGAGGAGCTTCCACTCAGAGGAGCTCCACATGCTGAGGTCACCCCCCCTTGCAAGCCCCTTCCATTACACTGACCCTTCAAATGCCTTCAAATCAGTGCTTAGCTGATATTAGCTGGGATTCAAAAGACATGCTGATGTGGTGCTTAGGGACATGGTTTAGTGGTGGACCTGGCATGGTAATGGTTGGACTCAATCTTAAAGGTCTTTTCCAACCTAAACAATTCTAATTCTATATACATGCATCACTCTTAAAAGTCTCCAAGGGATGGAGATGGTGTTTCAGCTAACCTCACAGCTCTGCAGAGATGCTGAGACAGATTCTCCTCTTATTTTCTCCATTGTAAACCCAGGATAATTTCACTTATTTTCAGGAGAGCATAATGGGACTTACAGCAGCATAGTAAGCAACAGAATAAGGCCTTCTACCATTTTTTTTTAAGCATGGGCACCATATGGATTTAATGAGAAGTGTATGTTAAACTGTCAGATTGTTAGAGTGCTGTATGAGGAAGAAGCACCAGGAGCAAAAGATCGAATAGCTTTTTTAGAAGTGAAGATATAAAAACTCATGTTATCTTTCACTACTGAGTGATAACTTACACCTCTAATTTAGCCTCCAAAATTTGTCAAAGAAAATGTGACTTCTTTGCATGATTCATATGAAAACCGTATTTTCCTCGACCTCTGTGTTTACCATTAAAGAAGACAAGACAAGCATATTTTGGTGAGGCAACCTCTCTGTTTTCAAGTGCAAAGGAATTATTTTGCA